AAGTAACAGGAAACAGATGAAGATAACTGATTACTGTACTCGTATCTAGGTACAGTAAGGCACAACAATTGATGTAATCTACTGTAATTTGGTGAGTAGGCCTACCTTTAATATACAGTATTAGTGCGGTGTGTATTGTCAGTGAAAAGCGCTGTAATATGTCTTTGATATTACACATTTGGGCAATTCCACGTTAATGTTACGTTAGTCTGTACTTAACTACGTATTTCACTAAAAAATGCAACATTTTAACTCTGTTTTTGGTAGATTTTTACGTGACTAACATAAGGCTACTGTGGAAGTGCCCATTTCGGTTACAACGACATTCGTTTATAACGACACTATTTTTAGGTCCCTTTGATGACGTTATAACCAAGTTCTACTGTATATATAAATATATATATATATATAATTATAGTTATCTTGTAAATGTTGCAGTAACTCAAAAGTATTAACAGATATTTATTTCTGTTCACTGGAATAAATGGACATCTTCCTTAATGAACTAACCATTCGGTATGTACAATTCCAGAATCATCACATTGTATACTTTTATCAAAGTTGTCCAACTTAAATGCACTAAATCTATAGACTGTCCTCCTATAGTTGATGCAGTTATTATTAGCCTATTTCAATTGTTGTTCCTGCCATCATCATCGTCATTACTTTCAATGTAAGCTTACTTTAATGTAGCTGTGGATTTCAGAATGGTTTAGAAATATTTATTTATGGCTAAGTACAGACCTAAACATCTGTTCACATTAAAACCCGACTGACTTCACATTTCATGCGGCTGTGTTTAAAAGCTTAATCGTGTCAGATATTGACAGTTCTTTGTTTTGCACTAATTTATATTAAGTAATGGAAAATTTAATGTGTAAATAGTTCATACGTGAACTCTCAAAGTCAGTGCAATTGATAGAAACAAGCACTTTGTGGGATTGATTCTCACGCAAATGATGCTGTATCAATTGCTGTGGATGTGTGCCGCTGATCGAGATGAGAAGGCAATAACGGATTATGAGTAGATAATTAGTTTTAATGTTGCTGTCATGGCCTTGTTGAAAGACAGATTTTAACCTATATATTTATTATCACGTGTAGGGTAGTACGCATGACAAAAATAACGGGTTCTAGTTGTACTGGAATCCTTGGCACTTCGGTTACAAATTATCTTACTTAAAATTAGTAGAGTGCTTTCGCTGATTTACACTTTACAATTTGCTGTTACACACATACAACAGTCCTCTCCTCATAACGCAGTTAAACACAGGAACAAGCAATATCACACTCCAGATTACACAGTACTACATTACGCAAAATGTCTTCAACGTCTATTAATATTTCACAGCTGAATCGTCAAAACTCCTTTCCATAACGGCTTCATGTCCTTGGCTCGGTCTCTCAGCTACGACTAACTGCAAACGAACTTCACTCTCCCATATAAAACTTCGGCACAGATATGGACCTACAGTAAACACATATCACGTGATCGCTATCCAACCAGTCTATTGGCGCGTCGAGTGCATCTACAGAAATCACGGACTCCTCTATTGTTGCGTAATATTGCAATGAACTGCTTACCAAGAATCTTGCCTTCGCTGTAACTAGTTTAGCAACTCGTTGCTAGAAATTGGTATACATGTAACATTGCTCCCAAGTTAAGGTTATTCGTCCCAAATAGCCTACAGGTCTGCTACCTGTTCTTTTCCAAGTATTACTTCTGGCTTTCCCACCAATATTCTATAAGCATTCCTCTTCTCCCCCATTCGTGCTACATGCCCTTCCCATCTCATCCTCCTTGATTTGATTGTTCTAATTTTACTTGGAGAAGAGGACAAGTTATGAAACTCCCCATTATGCAGTTCTCTCCAACCTCCTGTCACTTACAATTATTATTTTGCTGGACATTATCCATCATCTTGTCTATTCTAAAAAACAGTCTAGTTTCTATTAAAAACACAACGTTTCGGGAACTGGAATCTGTCCCCGTCTTCAGGTAAAACCTACTCAGTTGGGTTCAATAGACAGAGCTAGCCCCTATCTCCGGAGATAGGGAGAGAGGGGCTAGCTCTGTCTATTGAACCCAACTGAGTAGGTTTTACCTGAAGACGGGGACAGATTCCAGTTCCCGAAACGTTGTGTTTTTAATAGAAACTAGACTGTTTTTTAGAATAGACAAGATGATGGATAATGTCCAGCAAAATAATAATTGTAACAATTTACCATCATCACAAACTTTTAGTTCTTATCTCCTGTCACTTCATTTCTCTTCAGTCCAAGTATTATCCTCAACACCCTCAGCCTCTGTTCCTCCCTTATGACAGAGACCAAGTTTCACACAGACAGAACCACAGGCAAAATTATATTTTAGTATATCTTAAATTTTATGCTTTTAGACAGCAGACGGGAAGACAAAATTTTCTGAACTGAATGGTAGCAAGCATTACCCAATTTCTGTCTCCTCTTAACTTGCTCTGAATCAGGTTTTGATTTGTTACAATTCTTCCCAAATATGTGAACTGTGCCAAATTTTCAAAACATCTTTTACCGAATCTTATGTCATGATTTTTCCCTGCATTTATGGTGACAAGACAGCAACATATACTTAGATTTCTCTGCCTTTACTTCTACAGCAATCTCCTTAGTAGCATCAGTTACAGCTTCTTTGTTTCTCTGTGATGTATCTATGTTATCACCCAGCAGAATCACATAATCAGCGTAGGCTAGCAGGTGATGTCCTGCCTGGTTTTCGTGGACCTTCCCAATTTAATACAGATATTTACCTATGCTTCATATATTTTAAACAAGCATATGATACCATAATAAGGAAGAAATTAAGGATGATTATGTCCACTTTTGATATTTCAGCAAAACTAAGTAGAATAATTAACTTAACCATGACAGAAACATTCAATCAAGTTAAAATCCAGAACCACTTAACAGAATGCTTTAAGACAAATCAAGGATTAAAACAGGGTGATATTTTGGCACCATCACTATTTAACTTGCTATTGGAATATATAGTGAGAAAATGTAATGTAGACACAAGGAATACAACAGCGTATAAACAAATGCAAGTAATGTCTTATGTGGATGATAGTATTATAGTATCGAGATCCCTAAGAGCAATTAAGGAGGCATATAAAGAAATAAAATCCATAGCAAAAACAACTGGCTTAGAGGTGAATGTAAATAGAAATAAAATGCCGATACAATCCAGAAGGAATCCAAGGCAAACTGGAGAAATTAACATGGAAGGGGACGGGATAGAAATACCTGAAGACTTCATATATTTAGGATCGAAATTCCACAAAGATGGAGAGGAAAATCATGAAATAACAAGAAGAATAAGACTAGTGAATAATGCATATTTCTCGTTACTATCAGTTTTTAGATCAAAGGATATACACTGAGTGATTAAAACAAAAATATATAAAACAATGATAAGACCGGTGCTTTATTATGGATTTGAGGGTTGGACACTAAACAAGAAAGAGGAATCAGTCATCAATTAGTTCGAGAGGGAAATTCTGAGATAGATTTACGGACGAATAAAAAAGAATGGGATATGGAGAATAAGATATAATAAAGAGTTATACAAATTATATAAGGAACCAGAGATCTCAGTGACAATAAAGCATAAAAGATTGCAATTGGCTGGGCATGTACAGAGAATGGATAAGGAGCGTATACCAAAGAAAATGTTATATAGTAGAAATAGGTGGTAGAGGACGTGCTGGGAAACCAAGAACTAGATGGATTGATGCAGTGGAAGAAGATGCGAAGAAGCTAATCGGCGTAAGGAACTGGAAGAGAGCAGGGCAGGAAAGACAGGAATGGAGGGGCTTGGGAAGGGAGGCCAAGGAGCGTCATCGGGCTGTTGAATGTTTAGTCTCTTCTTAGTGCTATTTCTTTGTTTCAATAAACTGTGATAATATTCACATCCTCTGTAATTAGCTGGATGTGCACCTCCACAGACTACACATTTTGCAGGCGTGTTTTTAGAATTTTGCAGCTCTGTGTGCTGTGAGACCGACCGCATTTTACACATACATACGGTTTGTTACAATATGATCTTGTATGACCATATTGTCGCCGTCGCATGCACTGTGGGATCCCTTTGGCCTTTCTTGAAGGTTCTACTACAATTGTTTTGTTTTGTAGTCTTGCTAGTTTGTAGTTTTTTTGTTGTTAGTGTAATAAAAGGTAAATCTATTTTTTCCATTCATTGTTTCAGGCAAATATGTCCATTCTCGGAGTCACCTTGGTGATTTTCATTGGAGTTGTGTCAGTTGCCCAGATTGTTACTGGTAAGTAACATATTGTCACGTTTCAGTGACTAGACACTGGGTTTGGATTTATTACTTTATTTACTGAACAGTTATGACTCGTAACTACAAATGATTATAATAATCTCATTAATTTACACACTATACAAATAAATACGGCACGCACAAAAAGTTCCCAGTTTGTTATAGGTTTCACTGGTCTTCGCTAGGTAACATCAAAGTCAAGTCACATCGCGACCGACGTTCATAGTCAGTCTGTCCGTTTTGGTTTCTGACCCCTCTCGGGTTCATGATCAAGTCTTAGTTACTTACAGACAGTTATGGTTTTTTCGGTATGGGTCAGCCTCTCTGACGAGAGGACAGATCTCACATTTGTCGAAGTCATTGTCCATCCATTGTCAGTATATTCTGATTGTTTGCAGGTTTACTTGCATAGTACATAATATAATGACATACATATAGTAGCTGTGAAGTCCTTTATTCCCGATCTAAGATCCCATCTTATTCACACATTTATTATACATAATCTGCAGAGTGCTATAAATAATTATCTTCAGTAAGTACTGGCTCATGAATGAGTTATGCCCAGTGGCGTTAACTCATACTCGTTTTTGTTTGCAATTAGATATCATTTGAATGCTTGTATTGGGGTTTGACTCAGGTCTCTCTTATAGAGTTAGGACGGTGTATCTTTTCACTCTATGTGTAGTTTCGATATTGTCTAACATGTTCACTGCTACTGCATTTGTGTATTTTTATAATTTTCTTAAGAATTTGGTATTCCACTTTCTTTACTTCACTGAGCAATTTTTCGTTTGAAGATCTTCATGCATCCTGTGGTTGTTTACGTACAAAGGTGCGTTCCAATGTGTCGGAGGTTCTTAGATTGAAAGCACTGGAGGATTTTGATGGTTGAACTCTTTTGTTTTGGTTTTGATGTGCTTTACTCATCTCAAGCTTCTATCGAGATGCATGCCCAGATATTTCACTTCTCTCTGGGGTGGTTCAACATGGTGCATTTGCACTGTCGGACAGGTTTGGTTGCGTAGGATGAACGTAATTTGCATAGATTTGCTTCAATTTTTTTTAATTCTCCATTTCTTCGCCTAATCAAGTTAATTCACCGTGGCTTGGAGTTTCATTGAGGCTATCGCTGGACCGTCATTTGTGGCTAAGATTGCTGTACAAGGTGCGGCAATAAAGAAACCGAATTACTTTTATGACTCATTTCTGGCCATGTCGATGACGAAGAGGAGGGTAGGGCATTGACCTGTGGACTTCCCTCTACCGTCACACAAAGTTTCATTCTCGCACATCGGTTTGTCTGGCTGCGACCATTGTTAGAAGCAGATCATGTGTCTGAGCTCCGTCGGAATAATGCTGAGTGCTAATGTAGAACAACGTGTTAACATCAAATTCCTCACAAAACTTGGAAAATCTGCCACTGAAACTTACAATTTGTTGACAGAAGTATATGGTGATCAGTGTGTATCTCGCATGCAAGTTTTCGAGTGGTTTAAGAAGTTTATGGAGGGTAGGAAAAACGTCGGGAACGATCCAAAATCGGGCCATCCTTCCATTGCGAAAACTCCAGAGAATGTGGAGAAGGTCGCTAGAATTGTTCGAAGAGATCGTCGTCTGAGCATTCGAGCAATTTCTGAACTTACCAACATCAATAAGGAAAGTGCTAGACAGATTTTGCATGACGATCTGGGCATGAAAAAGGTGTGTGCTAAAGTGGTGCCAAAAATCCTTACCCCCCAGCAAAAGGAACATCGAGTGAATTGCTGTGTTGACACTCTTGAAAACATTGAAAATGATCCTGATTTCTTCCAAAAC